TGAATGTCAAAATAAATTTTAAAATAATGAAATTTCAAACCTAAATTCAGCGTTCTAATCATTTTTATTAGATTTCAATCAATGTAGACAAAAAAAGCACTAGCTTTGAATTTCCTTTAGAAATCTAGAAAAAAAATATATTATTTTCTACTTTTCTGTCTCACGAGAAAAATATTAAGAAAGATTATGTGTAAGGCATGAACAACACCATAAACATATATTTTTCTCTTAATGTAATAACTTTTATTAAAAGAATTAGATTAAATGTAATCATTGATATTAAAATAATATTTAATGTGTTGAAATTCGTCTACAAAATGAAAAACTTATTTTATTTATGAAAAAAACTGACTCTTGACACTTTTAATACGCTGATAAGATAAATTTAAAAGGTTTTGCTTTGATACTGAAAAATATATTTTTAAAGAAAAGATCAACCTTAAATTATTTGAAACGTTTAAAAGAGTTTCATAAAACTAAATCTGCCCCCCCCTTCAAAGAAAGAGTTTTATAAATACTGTCTTTTATAAATTAGATTGGAGTTTTTCAGAAATTCATAACAGGTAAACAGTTAAGCTTATTTAAACAAGACAATTTATGCAACATAGCATAAATATTTTTCTTAAAGAGTTTTTGGTTTAAGTTCAAATATTTTCTAGCAGATGGAGCTGCAAGTCATCTACTATTTCTACTGGTTTTAAATTGATACAGCTTTCGTTGTCGATTGTTGCATATAATTGTGACTGATAGAGGACGTTTAGAAAATATGGTAGTTTGAATTCAATTTCCTAAAAGATTTTAAAAAACTGTGACGTGATATTTAATTTATTACTTGCTGCGCTATCTGTCGGTGAATTTTTGAATTAAAAATGTATTTATTATGATTGAATTTAAACGTAATATTCATGCATTTGTATTATTCCTATAATTTATTATTAGGTATATTACAAGAGCTCCAAAATTAATGTACATATCGGACGGTGTGTTTTCAGTCCACCTGCCATGTTTTAAGATATTGTAAGTATTATTTTTTTTGGAGATGGTTTCCGTTTACGTGAAAATTGATTCAATTTATTTACTGTTTATTTAGATAAGATTTATGAAACATGAGTGCGTGAAAATTCGATCTTGTAACCTATTATGGATGCTACTTTTCATTAACTAAGTTAATAAAGATAGTTTTACTCTATTGAAACAAAAGATTAAAGAACTTTAAAAATAAAAGGATAAAAAGAGCAAATGATGCTATGAATTCAAAAACTGTGACAGAATTTTTTTTTTATTCGATTAGATTAGATGAATCTTATCAGTAAAATTTGCAATTAATTTGTTTTAAATTCAAATTCAATATAAGCTAGTAGGCTATGGATAATTACTTGTTTTTGGAATTTTTTTCAGCTTTTCTCTTTTGACTATGTAAAGGCTTTTAAATATTAGAAATGTCTGGATCATTTTTCAACATTATAATCTTTATTTTTTATTAATTCAAAACAACTTTTTTAAAAAATAATAATAAGTAGAATAAAATATTTTTTAACTGCTCTGGCAGTTTTTCATTTTTTTCCGGCATGGAATGGTTTGTGAAATTCTATTTCAATTGCTTGCATCAATTGTTAATTACAGAACTTTACTTTAGATATAACAAAAACTACTTTGTTTAAAAAACTAGTAAAACCAAAATACCATTTCAAGTGCTATGGTGATTTCTTTTCATATAATTGCTTACATAATTATTAAAAAAAATAACTTTATTTAATTCTTGTTTCATATTTTTTTATCTTCATTTGTTAATAAAATGAAAATTTCCACCTATATAAACAAACTTTAGTAGTTTGTACTTAAACTCAGGATAATTGACATTTTATTTTATTTTGATTTTATAACCGTCGTTGCCCTGCCGACCCAATTCTGAGTTTACGACCACCGAAGTTCAACTTCGTAGCCTCGTAATTTTGAACCCAATCCAGAAGACAAAGGAACTCCTGGATCAAGTATTGGAAGAAATTTGAATCCGCGGAGGACTTTTTGATGAAACTAACGCTCAGTTACATGGAGTGGGAAAAAAATGAAAATCTCCCGCTGTTAGTCTGACAGCAAGAGAACTCAAACCCATGATCCGTCTACCACTGAGGATATTTTACGTCAGCACTAGATCCAGGAGAATTGAGATTGAAAATATCTGTAGTATTTGAAACACTACATAGGGGACAATAAAGAAATTTAAAGTGTTCAAATTTGGAGCTTATGCATTTTATGAGACTTAATAAAAGGATTTGAGTGATAACGTTCGAGCAATGATCATTAGAGAATACTGCGATGCATATTACCAGAACACTTAACATTACTAACATTAGAATAAAAAAAAATTATTTTACTTAAGAAATGGATAGCTGGCAAAACTATGCTACTTAGTTTCAAAAATCGACATTTCTATCAATGACATCGTATTATATTACTTTTAAAGCAACAGATATAGTAATTGTTTTTGAATAAAATTGTTCGCTGCAAAAAAGCGTTAATGGATAACTTTCACAAAGCAATTCGAGTGTACATACGGAGCTTCTGACATTTATGCCATTAAACTCATAAATAATCATTTTTAATAATAATTTTGCAAATAAATTCATCTAGTTCAAAAAAGAGTCAATAGGGGAAGCTAGTGTTATCTACGTTGTAACTGTGTTGGCTAAATGTATAATATTTGTAACGTTGAATTCAAAAAAATAATCTTGCGCAAATCGGAAAAATAACTTCAAATACAACTATTCATTTAAAAAAAAATGGTCCTTAGATAAAAAGATGGTTCTCAGTGATGTTCAAAGTTTAGAATTTAATGCATTCAACTCACAAATAATTACTAATGTGTAAGTAGGAAAAGTAAATTTGGAATAAAGTTTTTTTAATTCTAAAAATAGTCAATTGGAAGAATAATGTGATGTTATGTTGTCTAAACTTTTTGTCTTTGTTACAACGACAAAATGTTTAGAAGCCAAGAGTCATAAATTTCATCATGGTAAACAGAATTAGGAAATGCGAAGGCTTTTTTATCCGAAAAAAACAAAACAATAATAAGTACACCTGCTTCCAGATTTTATATTTTTTTGAAATATCTCATCTCCGCCTATCGTTCATTTCTGAAACTAAATATCATTCTAATAATTTTCTTTTACCAGAATTAAAATTTTTTATAGATTTCTTTGTTGTTGCTGCTGTTGCCTTGATCTAATTCTTGATCTTGTTCTAAATTTTTTCAAACTTTGAAGAATGAGTTTTGCGTGTTCCTGAGAATAGGATGTCCTCTGGCGATGAGCAGAGTTCAAAAAGTGCAGCCGGAATGGCTTGACAGTTGATAATGTGTTTCGGCGTTAATAGGAATTAGGGACAATTCCTATTAGCTGTATTGTCTGTATTTAGGGATCTGTCTGTATTATCTGATCTCCATGGAAGATTATTAACATTGCCCTAAGGGGTTTTATTTTATTTTATTTTTTGACCGCCGTTGAACAGTCAACCCAATTTCGGATTTACGTCAACCAGTGTTCAATTTAGTGCCGGCTAGGTGGCCCGATCGGTCAGCGTGCCTGACTGTAAAGCTAGTGGCTGCGGGTTCGAATCCCGCTCAGAGCATGGATGTTTCTCTCTGCGTGTGTTGTTCTCTATAGTGTGTTGTGTAAGCGTGATCCACCCTATAAACGGATATCTGGGGCAATGTGGCTTGGGTAATGTTTTGCTCGCCTCCATGACTTAGGTTCACAGGTGCCCACTGGGTAACGTTAAATGAGCAACACTTTCGTCATCTTCCGTAGTGAAGATGAAAAGTTCAGTGCTTGCCATTTAAACGAAAATGTTCAATTTTGTAGCCTTGTAGTTTTGAATACAATCCTGAAGAAAAGGAAACTCCTGGATCAAGTTTTGGGAGAAATTTGCCTTCGGAGAGAACCATTTTGACGGAACTAAACCGCATTCACGTTACATGGAGTGAAAAACCACGAAAATTTCCCACGGTTTGCCAGACAGATAGGGGACTCCGTCTGTCACTGAGGATATTTTACATCAGCACTGTGGTTCGTGCAAGCCGGATGCGTCGTATCGACCAGCCATCGCTGGGATTCGAACTCAGTTCACCTCATTGGAAGGCGAATGCTCTATTTCTTGAGCCAACACGCTTCACCCCGAGGGATTGGACTGGTCCACGGAAGATATTTTATTTCCCTTGTAACACCCAAAATAAAAACCAATGAAAAAGTTCACCTATCCATCACCCTTGGACACGATGGCCAGGGGTTACTAGCTCTCAAGAGAGAGAGATTTCCTTGATTGTCCCTATTGAGTGCTTCAAACATTATTTCAATTTGAGTAACTTCGTAACATGTATATTTCAATAAGAATAAGTACGTAACATATGCAGATTTTCTTGTCACTATTGAGCACTTCAAACATTATTTCAATTTGAATAAATGCCTAACCTAAATATCAAAAGAGGACCGAGCCGTTTGTCCATGTCCAAGAGGTTGTGAGTTCAATCCCTCTCCGCTGGCCGAAGACTTCCCGTGTAGTAAATCATGACTGGTGCACATTAAATCTGTCGGGTCACATAGTCCTCAAATTTTTTATAACAAATCAATACTGATACTGAATTTTATATTGATCGTTCTCTGGTTCAGGTCAAAATTACGATCTGATGATTAATAAATGAATATATGAATTATAAATGGAACCGCTCTATAACTAGAATGTGACGTGTGTGTGTGGCAAAGTCATATTCTTGGCATAGATGGCGGCACTGAAAAACAAGAACAAAGGCATTTGAAACATGGCATTTGAAACAGCAACAACAACCAATATCAAAACTAAAATATGCTACTTAATGATATCTGATACGATAGTATATAGTATGTTATATTTACGCAATTGGTATCATTTTGGTGCATTTAAATTCGTTCTGAAACGTACTGACTGACATATAGTTTGGAAAGTCGGTGTAAAAATAATTTATTTTACATTTTCTTATTGGCAGGCGTATAGCTCACTCTGGTTTGGAAGAGTTGCCGAACATGAACCATCTGAAAACTGATCCATCCATTATATCCATTATGTGAGTTTATGAGTGACTTTTTGGTTGTTCTAATTTTATTCTTCGATTGAAATGTTATTTACTTTACACTTTTTGAATTTATATTAATTAATATATTATATATATTATTATATTTATAGATTAACTCTTCATAAGACTTTTTTTCTAGTAATGTTAGGAAAAACAATTTTGGGATTGAGATTGATTCAATAAGAGAATGTAAGAATATGAAGAAGTAAACAACTGGCAAGAAAACTTGCCATTCTTTTATTATTTTCATATTCTAACTTGCCACAGGACTATAAAGGAACTTCATTGGAATATTATGATTTTAGAAAAATATTATTTATTTAAAAAAAATAATAATAATTTAACCGGTTTGCACGTATTTACCCGAATTGGATTTTCTCATGGTAAAAGTATTTAAACTTATTATTTTTTCTTAATTTTCTTTGTTTTTCGCTCATTTTTTTAATTCTTTTTTGTCTTTGGTTCGGTTTATATG